GTCTTTTATATTCTTAGCATTTGAGAGAGGAAAAAATGAAGACTAAGGTGATGAATAAGATGATAGTTCATTTAGAATAAAAGTTTATCTTCAATACAGGGAAGAAGAAAAATCAGGCATTAATAATTGCAGGAAAAATATCTGTGGGATATGGTGGACAAGATTCTCTCTTGGCTTCTTTGAACTGAGTGTTGTTGCACTTTTTAGAAAGGAAGTTTCTGGAATCACAATGTAAATTTGGGGAAACCTGCAGAACTGGCACAGTGTTTGCTATTTGGCAAAAGTGAAGAGAAAAAAGCACACTTTCATGCATCTTTATTGTGAAATCCCAAGTTGATGGTGAGGTTTGGAAGAAGAGCTCATAAAACTGAGTAGGCAATAAAGTGGCAAATGAATTTTGATGAGTGCCAAGTAATGCACATGGAGAAAAATAATCTCACCTATATGTATACCACGCTGGGCTCTGAACTAGCAGTTACAATTCAGGAAGTGTCTCAGGAGACCTTGGAATTATTGTAGAAATTTTTAGAGAACTATCAGCTCAATGTACAGCAGTGACCAGAAAGCAAATTAAATGTTAGATATCATTAAAAAGGGAATTGAAAGAAAAAAAAAAAGGGGGGAAAAAATCATTATGGCACAGTACAAGTGCATGGTGTATTGACATGGTGGTGCTTCTGGGATTCCCAGCTTAAGAAGCATGTAGTTGAATTAGAAAAAAATACAGAGAAGGGCAACAAAAATGCTCATGGGTATAGAGCAGCTTCTGTACCAAGAGAGACTGAAAAGGCTAGGGCTTTTTATTTTGCAAAGAGTGAGCTGAGGGGCGATATGATGGGGGCCTATACACATCCAGACCTCTAAAGGGTGTAACAAAGTGAATAGGGAAGTGTTATTTATCAAGTCTCAGAATACTAGAATTGAAGGGGCGAGGGTGCGGGCACTCAAATAAGTAGGAGACAAGTTTAAAACTAACAAGAAAAAGTACTTTTTCACACAGTGAACTCATTGCTACAGGAGGTTATAAATGCAGCTGATACAGCCAGGTTCAAAAAAAGGACTAAGCAAATCTATGAAGAAAAGGTACATTGGGAACTATAAAATAGAAAGTTTGTGAATATATCCTCTGAACTCCCTAAACCAATGATGGTTGATGCCAGGGAAGGTATGAATCACTGTAGACATGCCTCATACATACACTCTCTAAGGCAGTAGTTCAAAACCTTTATCATCTTAAGGTACCCTCCATAACTTCTCTGAATTTCATGGTAACCTGAGTGAGAATTGCTGAAGTAGGGTGCTCAGCTATGAGGATCTATCTTTTATCCTCTTCTGATGCTTTGGGTTCCATTGTTTGTAGTTATCCAGCTGTCGTCTTTAGTTAATATTCTGTTGGTATACATCTGCAAGCACAGATGGGGCAGAGGGGGCTGCCCCCCTGCCGCTTCCACACTGCCCCAAGTGAATCATCCCCTAATTCACCTCTGCTTGCGCATGGGCTCCAACCCAAAGGAGACAGCATGATATGTGCAGCAAGCTTTTCTTGCTGCTACTCCTGGGTTGGGGCACTATGTGCAAGCACCTCTGCACTTTGCAAACACATACCTGGGGCATGTCTGTAAGCAGGCACTTGTATCTGAAACTGAGAGTGGGGCACCTGGGGCCCTTCTTTCAGGATCAGGTCCTTGAATCCCCAGGAAGGGCAGAGGATTAATCCAGGGGGGAATAGCCACGACAATATGTTTCCAGCCTTAGAGATTGACTCAGTACAATACCTCAGTTCTTATAATTTTTTTAGCCTTTGCTGATTTAGAGTTTGGAGACTCAGCCTGGCTATCCATTAAAGTTTCGGTCAGTCTGGAGACAGTTCTATAATGGTATATATAACAGAACAAAGATTAACAGTCTAACCCATTCCCTGTGTTGCAGTGTCAAACAAGGATGCATCTAAGGACCAATCCTGTAAATACTGCTCTATCCACCCACTTGGCTGCCTGCAGGTGGCTGCTAATCATGCTGGCCAGGTGGAGTGGGTGGAAGGCATATCGAAGTTGAATCCAGACCCCATGTGCTGGGGCAGAAGCTGCCTGGCTGAAACTTCCTCTCCATCAGAGACAGAATAGCAGCGCTGGTGAGGGGAGCTGAGCAGCACTCGGGCAGCTGCAATCGCACAGGGAGCAGCCCCGCTGGAAGCTATGTGCATTGTCTGGGACTGGGGCCAGTGGGTGTGGATGTGAGTGCAGCTCTGGCTGTCCCATGTGAGCACTGTGGGAGTAGTGTGGGCCAGATCCAGTCAATTGGTGGGCTCCCCCCACAGGTAAGATCCAATCATGTGGCAGGCCGGATCTAGCCCACAGGCCATATTTTGCTCACCCCACTGTATATGGGTATGAGATTTGACCATGGTACAGAAGGAACATCTGATGGCTGGAGAAGTTCAACAAGAAATACTTTTGTGCCCTGCTCTGAGGTGGTATGACAAGCTGATTACTATTTTTAAGTCCTGCAGTGTTTGTTCTACTGATAATTGTGGCCTACTTATGACAGACCAGGCAATGGCTCAAATGGATTATACAAATCCAAATTTGTACAGTGAACTTGGATTTGGGAAGAAGAATCAAAGTTGCCCGAGAAGGTATTTAAAGAAATCCTAAAGACACACTTGATAGAATAAAACCTACTTACCAAGTAATTTTATGCTCTTTGGCATGAATAAGCAGAAACAGCATGCCAAAAGATATTTAGGCCCTTTTGAGGAGCAACAGCAAGCCTTTGGGCAAGAGAAAGCATTTGAGGTAAGTAGATCAGCTCCTACAATAACTGATGTTGCTATACTTATGACAAGTTGCTTATTACACATCATCCTTAGTCATCTGCACACTATACTTCACTTATTCTACACCCCTATTATGGCACTCTCTCAAGTATGAAGGATGTGCAATGATAACAGCATAAGGGAAGGGGGACGGAGAGTAGGTTTATTTAAGATGGGTTCAGAAACAGAACAGTTTTTTGAGGACTTTCAACTAGTAAGTTAATAGTGTGTATTTTTCATTACACTTACCTTTGTCATGAATAAATAAAACATTGATTTAGGAATATATTCAGTGTTTGCTTATCTGTTTGTTGTAAACCTGCCACCTTTGACATCCTGATGAAAATAAACTGAAATACTACATTAAGACAGCTGCCCTCATTATGATTCACAGTTAAGATTTATAGAGCATGCATTTCATTCTGAGTAAGTGGTGGTCATCAAATATAGACAAACTAGATGACAAAAGTTATTCTTTCACTTTCTTCCATTTTTCTTAGTACCATATTGTCATAGAATTACATGAAACATTATATTGTAGAGGCATTTTATTAACTAAAACAGCCAGAAATATTTTTTCAGGTCTCACATTACATATCTTGCAATTTGCCACTTTAATAGAATGTCACGATTTCAAGTACACTTCATATTGGTTGAATTGTGCATTTCCTGAGACATGCATCACATTTCTTTTGACTACACCAAATCAAAATGCATGCTGTGTATACAAAATAACATGTATATTAAACATCAGTGGAAATTCACTAAAATTTTAGTGATCATCAAATTTTAAGTGCAACAAGGACAAAATTGTTTAGGCTTCAAAATACCTTAGATCACCTGTAGAAACATGTTGTAATGAATATGTAAGATAATGGTTTAAAACTTTAACTTATTAAAACACTTCTAGTTTACACTAATTGAAAAAGTATTCTCCTCAGATATTAGGGACATATTTTACCAACAAAGGGTTTATTACAAGTATTTTTCCCCACTCAAGAACTTATAGAAGTGACTATATGCATCTAGCTGCTTTTTAACCATACTAAGACAATGCACTTTGACAATCAACCAACGGTTTGGAGCCTAATCCTAGTATTTTCTCACTGTTTAATCTACCATAAAATGTTATGCCTTAGGACTGCATGGTTATTGCTATTTTTGTGCATACTAGTATTCTCCCCTTACTTTGAAATATAAAGTAAAAAACCTGTCTTTGGATAAAACATGGTAGTAGTGTGCTGTTTTTGCAAAGATCTCCAATATTTTTGTAAGCTGTTGTCTAGGGAGAACATTACTGACTGGTCTAAAAAAAAATTTCAGTAGACGTTTGTCCCGGTTCAAAACTTTAAAAAACATATAAATTGGGCCCACTGTTTTTAGTAAATTATATTCCTAAAAATTATATACCAGTATATATTTTTGTCCTTTCATATCACATTGTACTGGCTCAATTTAAAAAAAAATGACTGGCATATGGAGGTTGAACAAAAAAAAAATGGTGAACTAAGCTTCTTTATGTACAAATCAGAGCAGCAAACAGCTCCTAGGATAAACCAATATGTCAAAAGACAATTCAATTCTAAGGCAATATTGGACAGAGAATTTAGTTTCTAAAATGGCTACTGTCCAGAGACTGCTATTTTATCTCACACTACTGGAAGAATCATAACATTTTGGCACAATTATTGTTCATGAAAGCATTCAATATTTATGTAATGACTTTCTTTTGTAACTGGAAATATCATGTAATGAAATAAGTATTTGCCATAGACCATGTGGCATTTCACATTTCTTACATTAAGTGGTACTTTGACAAGGGGTGAAAGAATTAAGCTATACAAGTAAAATCTCTACAACAGCTAGGTCAGAAATTAAAAGCGTATAAAAGTACACCTTATATAGGCCTGACTAATGTACACAAAATACTGTTCATTCTTAACAACACAATAACTATGAATTTTGTAAAAAATGAGCCATAAGCATCTGCTTTGCTTACAAAACATGGAGATGATCACATTTTCTCACAAAATAATGCACAACAAATAGGTTGTATTGCAATTATCTAAGAAAGCTAAGAAATAAACCCAGTTTAAAAACACATACAAAGATTTACTATCAACAGAAGAAATAGATTGTGACAATATTTCAAGAAGTTTCACAAAATGGGATAAAACGTTCAAACTGTTTACAGCACTGTTTAATATGGATTAAGGTTAAAACAGATTAGATTAATATAGATCCAGAACTTCCTTAAAAGACACAGAGCTAGAGCTAACACTTTTAGATACTGTAACAGGTCGCCCAAGAGTTTACCTTAGTTTAAGTGGTATGTTTAGTCCTCAGGTCTTTGTATCAAAAAGTCTATTTCTCTTTTATTAAGTGAACCCATAAATTTTGCAAAACAAAACACCATTATATTTTCTTTGTGCATTTGAAAAGAAAAGTAAGTTAAAATTTATCTTTATTTCTTGCAATACATCTCTAAATACAGTTTACCTGTAAAACACTTTATAAATAAACATGAAAAACCCATGCAAAATGCTACAAAAATGTTTTATCAGTACCCCATGCATACAGAATCTCACGATGAAAGATGCACTCAGACCCCTTCCGGTCCAAATCCAGTTGTGAGATAAGATATTGCAAGACCAATGAACTATAACAATAAAGTAGATGAATCCCAGTAAGAAACTGCATTTAGAAGAGGACTAGAGCAAGTCATAAAAGTGTAACGGTATGTGCACACCTGCTCTTCCATGGCAGAAGTAGCATAGCTTTTTTAATATGTCTAAGAAACGCCCACAATTACATGACATATTAAGGCAAATTTCTTCAGATTACAGAAGAGGGATTAAGCTTCAATTCCAACCTAACCTATAAAAGTAGATGAAGCTACTTAAACAGGACAAAAATATACATGTGAGATAACAAAGCCTACATAGCATTTAATTTAAAAGTGAACTCTCTGGCTGCAAAAACACTGCTGTATGGTTTCAGTGAGTACTTTCCCACATCTTGTTTTTTTCCAGGAATAAGCCCTCAGCTATATGTCATAAGTGATTTAAAGCATTTTTATGTGAGCAGAGATATAATATGCAAAGTTTACATTAAAAATCTTCATGTTTTATTTCTTTCTAATTAATATTAACCTATACAGCATGGTAAGGTCCATTACCTGCAAGTAAGAATTATAAATATTTTAATGATGATCATTGCAATATATTCGGAAAGAAGGTCCAAAATTCAAATTTATTAACAGAGAAAAATTCACAAAAAACTAAACAAACCCCACAACAAAACAAGCAAACAAAAAACTAAGGTACTCCCTTCGATCACATTTAAGATTCAAGAACATAAAAGAACTGCTATGCTGGATCAGATCAAAGGTCCATCTAGCTCAGTACCTTGTTCCTGACCATACAAAAATGGCAGATGCTTTAAAGTAGGGGTAGGCAAACTAGTGGCTGGTCTCCATTTCCCAGCAGCCCCTGCCATTTTGGCTGGTTTCCATGGAGACCCGAGCAGTGGCAGGGCTGTGACAGCACGGGGCCAGGATTTCCATGGAGACTGACCCCAGCAGCACTGGCAAGGCTGCACAGCTGGGCAGGGAGCTGCTCTGGGGCCAGGATCTAGCGGCAGTGAGTGTGATCCAGAGCCGGCATGTGGGCAGCAGATAGCAGTTCTGCCCCAGCTCCGAACCATGCTGTCACCGCCCTGGACCATGCAAAATCCCAGCCCCGGAGCAGCTCCCTGCCCAGCCACACACCCTGCCAGTGCTGCTGGGAACTCTGACACCGCACTGTCACAGCCCCGCTATTGCTGGGGTCTCCATGGAAAGCAGCCTCAATGACATGAGCAGGGGCTGCTAGGAAATGGAGTCTGCTGTGGGCTGGACTTTGCCCACCTCTGCTTTAGAGCAATACTATAAAAAACAGAGCAAGTGTAGGGTGATCTAACCCTTATCATACCTTCCAGCAGTCACAGATTTAGTCCAGGTTCTAACTTCTGGTTGAACATTGCCCAAATGATAGTATTTCTTAATAACTTAAGAACTTAAGAGATACTTGAGTATCTTTCCAAGACCATTTGAGGCTTTTCTGATAACTGCTTTCATGCAGTAATACTCTCTGTTTGCTTTCTGCCCACCCTGTACATTCACGGACAGATTAGGTAAGTGCCCAATGGGATTTTCAGAATTTCTTAGGTACCCATCTTCTATCGACTCATTAGCACCTAAGGTACTCTGAAAATCTCATTAAGCATCTATCTATATCATTAGATAGTTAAATATCTTAAAATGTGGCCATTAGTGCTTTTATATGAGTCTTTAAAATAATGTGGTTCCACTGCAGAGTCAATATTAGCATTTTTTTTCCACTCAGAACAATAACTTCATTGTGCTATAGGGTAACAATAATTTCAAAGGCTGCCATAATCAACTCCACATAATCAAATAGGATAAGGAAAGACTCTGCAAGGAAAGCAGACAGCTAAGAATCTGGCTCTGAGAAAGCTCGAAGAAGCAATAAAGGAAAGTAGAGGTGGGGAAAGGATTAAAAAGAATACCTAAGTGGGGAAGGTAAAGGGACTTCCTACATTCAAAACCTCCAACTGCAGAGGAAATACTAGTGGTTCAAAACTTCCCTAGCTTACATCAGAAGAAGCTAAAGCATCTCTTCAGTCATTGAGAGCTGTAAATGAGAAAACAATTTAGTTTCCTCAGGTTTGTAAATACATAACCAAAAAATTAAGAGTATAAAAAAAAACATAATTAGAAAGGTGTACTTAGTAAAGAGATTGATACTAAAAAGTGCATAACTATGTTTCCTTAGTAAAGTGGTTAATATAGAGTGGTACGGCCCAATAAGTGCTCTTAATGTTCTAGAACATATCCCACCATCATTTAACCATATGTATCTCAGTTTATCTACCTGTAAATTAAAATTACCCTTTATGGATACTGTTATTCAGCAAAAATCATTTGAAACTCCTTAGGAATGTAGTATGAAAGCAGAAATGACCCAGAAAATATCATTTTAAAGAAACAAACAATACTGAAAATGCACTGTAAACTATCAAACAAAATATGCATTCTCAAGCACATTGATGGTACTAAAGCCACATTTTACATTTAGTTTCTCAATAAAACAAGGACAAGTGCTACTGCATTCACTGCATATGCAAATACACATTGTACACTGTGACAGATGTACACTGAAGGAAGAACAGAATCCAAGAAGTTTTGGTAAGCATTCCCTGGGCCAGATTCTTTGAGTCCTGCACTCTGTATAAGCATTTACAGCAGGAAATGGTATGTGCTAATTATTCTGCTCTAGTAGCACTAGAATGGGGTGTAAACCCTGTTACACTTATGTTTCAGGCATAGCCTGAATTGTTCAGTATATTCTGAGCACATGTACCATATCAACCCCTTTAGGTAACGCAAGCAAACAACTTGTGAGCTGCTCTGCATGGCCAAAACTGAGGCACTTCTAGGCCTATGCAGAACTTTAGGTTAATTAAGGAAAAATAATCAAACACTTTGGTACTAACAGACTGTACGTGCCACTGGGATATTATGATAGCTGAGCAGATGTTTTGAAGATTTTGGACTTGGGTGAAGTATAGGCATTTAGGGTACTGACAGAAGTGACATTTGTCGTGTGATAGGCCCCTTCACAGAAGTACACCGCTACAAAGCACTTTAAAAGTGCCCAATTGCACAATAAATTAACCTTCATGTAAGCTTCTAGCTGGGGTTTGCCCAGCTTGAACTGTAGGGGGGCGTAAGTGTATTGGAGCACCCCCTTCTTCCCCTCGCCAAGGTGGGGGGCTCCAATCCACCTGTCCCTCCCCCCTCCTCTAGCTCAGGATGGGTAAACCCTAGCCCAGAGCTCCCTCCTCCCCACTCCCATCCTGTAGACAGCACTGAAACTGGGGGGGAGGAGGGAGGGGATTGGGGAAACAGGATGGGACACACTAGGGGAGAGAGCCTGCAGGCAGGCAGCTCCTCCTGGATTGGTTCCAAAGTGGAGCTTGATTCTCTCCCCCATCCAACAGCAAATGTCTGATGGGTCGGGGGGGGATTGCTCTAACTCAGCTCTTTCCATGAAGTGCTGTGAGTTAGAATGGGGAGCTGTATGTCTGTCAGCACCTTTGAGTCTTGTGGATCTAACTGTAGGAGTCTATACAACATGCAGGACAATGGAGAATCTGTCCCAATTTTATGCAATACTCTTCACCTGGTGCTATGGGTCTAATGCACAGGACAAACTTTGCACCAGTCCACTGAATAGTAAGACTATACATTGGACTAGTAAGACCAAAATGTTGCCTATGGTGCCACTTAAGACGTATGGTTTTTAAGCCTCTAATATAGGGGTCTAACTCATGTAAAGTATTACATGGTCAGTGCATATCACTGCTCCCATAATCCTCTGGGTTACAGAACAATGCTGTGAGCCAGAGACCACAGAACAATGCTGTGGGCCAGCTAGTGTAGCTTAGAAAAATTGTGAGGCAACTCCTAAGCTACATCAATGGACTACAACTAGAGCAAAACTAACTGCAGTTGAGAGTCATAAAATTGGTTCCTTTGCAACTCCTTCTCTAAATTGCTCCTGATGGTCCTTGGCTATAGCTGTGAATCTGAACTTGTATGTTCTTTGTGATAGCGAAGAATTTACTTCTGTTTAAAATAAACTGGCATTTCCATCCCTCTAATGTTTGGTGTTTAACAACAAAGCCATTTTAACAAATAAAATTTAGGTTGTGATCCTGGATCTATGAAACAATTAGAGCATTTCAGCACTCAAAAGCTTCATTTAAACAAAAACAGAATCTTTGAATGGTTAAGGTGATAAAAGCTGTTTTTAGCCTATTGAGAGCTGTTGAAAAAGTTTTAAAACCACCCTTCCTTTTTCAGATCAGGTGGTCACTAACAACCATTAGCAGAAATGTTCACTTGAGATTAAATTTAAACATACATTTTAGAAAAAAAAATGTAGCCTTTTCTAACCATAAGGTTTCACAATCCTGCCTTCTGATTTCATGGATAGATTAATAGGGGTTTTCATAGATGCAGTAAAGTCAATGAGACTTTATAGGCATAACAGTTTCCCCATATTAACCACAGTTCAGGAACAGGGCCTAATATGAGCAAAACAAACAAACAAACAAAAATCCAAATATATTATGCCACAGGTTAAGTAGCTGTTAGAGAACCCACAAGTTCTCATAAGATCAAATATTCAAATTCTATTGGTCCAAGGGTGCAGACTTTTTTATTCAGGCCTATATTATTAGACAGAGATGAGCCCAGACTGACTCTCTCAAGGTCTGGCATTTCAGAAATAACAAGAACTACAACTGAATGACTCATGAAATTTGAAGGCTGAGATTCTCAGCTTTCAACCAGTATGAGGCCATGTCTATCAGGTACGTGTACCAAGTTTGACACCAACATCCTCAAGTATGCATGATGGGTTGGCTGATCCACAAATCAGAAACTGTGAATCTGCTTCTGTTTGTCCCTGTGGGTGGGTTAATTAGCATAAGGGTAGGATAACTACTCCTGTCACTCAGTAATGGCAATTAGCTTGTTGGATACACAAATGCAGCTACTCTCTTTCTAGTTTAGGAGGCAGCTTGTCTCCAGTAATGCCATGTGTTTGAGGGTGCTGTGGCTGGCATAGTAAATTTATACATAGACCTGGCCATAAGCACTTATTTATAGTTAAGGAGGCTGTGAAATAAAATAAGAATAATAATTTTGCTTTATTTTTTTTCTGGAACTCGAATTAAGACATGATTTGTTAAGCGCTGTCTTAAGTACAGCAAAAAAGCAACAAACTGTCTGAAAAGTTGAAATGTCAGATTTCAAAGGGCAACAGACAAATTTGTTCTAATGGCTAGTGTGCTATGTTCTCTTAAAATCATGAAGGAAAGAAAGACTCTCTGAAAGATGATCTGTTGAATATGTGACTTATAATATTTAAATCTTTACCCAAACATTAGTTCTTAGTCTGCAATCAGTAAGAAAACAAAAAATCTATCATTGGTGAAAATGAAATAAAATCTTGGGTAAGATTGATTCTCCCCCACTCACCCAGTGATTCATTATTCTGATACCTCTTTCCTTTGCATCTTTAATTACTGTTCTTTTGTTAATCCTCATCTGGTTTGAAAATTTCAATTACTTTTGTTGACATTTACTATCAACATGACTGTGGATCAGAATCAAAATAACACTGATTTGGAGGTAAACTGATAAGCTTTCACTGAATGTCTGAACCCAGAATCTTTAAAAACCATAACTTTAAAAACCAGTTTTGGGTATTATAATCACAGAAAAGTTAAATGTTTAAAGGGAATATGCATCGGGAACAAAAGGCAGATAGGGTATATTACATTTTACACAGCAGGCATTTATCCTGCATGAAATTAATGACAAAACTGTAATCAAAGCACTGCCATCTAAAACACAACTATACAGCAGCAAAAGGTAATGAATGCCAGATTTTCTTATTCTACTTGAGTCACCTATGTGTTATTTTAGGCAGACTTCTGCTAGCATTATGTGCATACTATGAATTAGAAAGTATCTAGCTTTTCCCAAAATATCCATTTGCAATATCCTAAAGGCTAAAATGCCGATATTGCTCCTTACTGTTATTTTTAATCCCCCAAAGTCTAATAAATGTACAATAATAGTGCATATATTACATTCAAAGGCTAAAACAATTTCTTTGAGTATATCCATGATGACACACACACGTTTATTGATTGAATTAGAACTCCCAGTGTAATTTCCATCTCTACGATAGATGCATTGTACTAAAAAACAAGGACCATAGCAGTTCACATGAGCCACTGTTCTTTTTCCTTTCTATATTTCTCAGACCACTTGAGAGTGAGTTCAAGATAAATATTTGGTTTATGGGGTTTATAATCCAGGTAAACTACCTGTCCAGTCTTTTTGGGAATAGCTTTTTCAATTTGAGTTCCTTCATGCCATTCATTAAAAGAGGTGATGGAAATAATTTCTGGTCGCACCAAAAGGGCTGCATTATAAGCAGTTTCATAATATTTCCCATTGACACGATTACGGGTGTTGTGGTTGTTCCATGGTCGGATACTGGTATCTACATAACCTGGTCCCACACTTGGAACGAACATTAAGTTGTTACTGTCACAAAAGGATTTTAGACTTGCCCAATTATGGTGAGACGAGCCATAAGAAAAGCCATTGGTGGCAAAGTATGTATAAATTCCATCAAAACCACTTCTGTGGATTTCATGTTTATGTTTTTCTTCTACTAGAAGTGCAATGAACAATCCATCATATGGAGTACTGCGAATGCTTTGTGATCCAGAAACAGTTAACAGATTTGCCCATATTTCAGGTATTGTTACGTAAGAATCATAAACATAAAACATGGGAAGCGTTCTGCCTGTGCTGGTCTTATGCCTGTAAAAGGCTGGATGTCCTCCATATCTATAAAGGAAGCAAGTAAAAGTATGATTAAATATTGATAAATAATATGCCATTTGGGAGAAAATCCTTGCCAGATTTAGGATTGAAGGTTTTTGGTGAAATTTAAAGCTAGATGCATTTGTTTTGACAACAAGGCCATTCACTTATTTTTGACTTGCTACATGCTAGAAGGGTACATACTGAATACTGCAAAGAGCTAATAAATTAATGTTGTAGATTACTTATCTAGTGTCAAGTCTTACAAATAACTATCACGCTTCTCTCAAAGAAAAACATACCAACTCACTGCATCAATGTGAAAGATACTATAAGTGACAAAAATAAACAAAATAACTAGTAGCTCTTCAAATCTCATGCTGGATTAGATTAGATTAAAGCATTATTGGTCAGCCCTTAGAATTCTGGCTGTCAACCTGTCACCTTAGACAATTCTTTAAGAAAAACCATGTATGAATGGCACAAATTTTAAATGAAAATAGTTAAAATCATCAGCTTGAGGTGTCAAGAAGTGCGTTATAATAATAAATACTAAATGATGTTGTCATTTGTATTCCTATGCATAATTCCTGTCCTAACACTTGATGGATCTTATTAATGGATGGATCTAAAAATGATAGATCTTATTGTTCTGAGTTGTCATTACATTATGAACAAAATAGTTCCTTTAGTTTTCTTCAGTATTCTCACATCAAATTATATGAAGCCCAAGTTACATTATAATTTCAAAATATTATATGAAACTGTGTCTGTGATAACCCCAAATTTTAGAAACTACTTACTTGTCTATTATGTACTTGACATTGTTGTACATACTGCGATCGTCTCTATCTTTGTAGGGCTCAATATGAAAAGTGACCTATAAGATAAAATGCAACGTATATTTGAAAATATTATGAAATATCATAAAGCATCCAGTTTTGTATCTCTCTCAAGTATTACATCAGTAGCATTACATAAGGAGAAACTATAACAAATTTCATTATGCTAGCTGTGCAATTTACTTAAGACAATTTTACCTGGAAAAAATCTAAGTAGGAATCATCATTTTTGGACCAAGGTTATTTATACCAATTCTACATGATTCAGGAAAAAAATGAAATTCCTACTCCATTAGTAGTATTATATAAATTACTACTTTCTTGATCCATAGGATATTGTGAGTAATAAAATGTTAGTAAAAAAAAGTGTAAAATAGAGGGTATTCTAAGCTAGTTAAATAAACAAAGTTTATCTGTTTACATGCCAAAAACTGATTATACCTGATGAAAAATGTTTATATTCAATTTCTAAACAATACATTCTAGTTGTTGTTGATAATATTTCTCCAAGGAGAGCTTTCAGTAACAAATTAGATTTTAAGATGCAGGATGTGAGAGCTTTAGCTTTAATTTAGAATTTTATAGACTCATCAACGGCAATAAACATTTAGGACTAAATCTAATATATTGTATTGCTACTGTTCCAAATTTCAAGCTTGGGGCTTATGAAATATTTTATGCTATAAAATCTCATCTCATTTCAAAGTAAAAACTCCATTGTTTTGAACTATCCAATTAAAGAGAAGAGTATATTACATTAATCACTGCTGCTAGTTTTTCAGAAGCAATTTTTAGGCTACAATGCTTTTAATGAAAACAATATTTAGCTACTCACTATAACAATATCAAATTTCATTTCAGTGAGACAATATTTTTGTCAGTCACAAAGCAAGTAAAATAGAAACAGTCTTAACTGCTAGGATTGTTAATTTTCCCTCAGCTATCCTATTATTTCATTTTTAACTTCAGTCAAAGAGAAAAAAAAGTCATACGTGACTAAAACACTACTGTTAACATCTTGGTATATTCTATATTAAACCTTGTATCTTTCTCTTTAGAGTGAAGGTAGTTTCTTTTCCATGTTGATTTTGAATGTATTGATGTGTCGATCCTTTTTTAATTATAACCATTTGCTTGCTCATATTTCAAGAATACTTACAAAGTACAGTACTAAAGATGATATTCACTGTATTTTGAACAAACACTGTATACAGACACAGAAAAATTATAGCAATGATACTGAAGGCATATTGCTTGATAGCTTTTTAATTTTGCTTCAGTTGCTTTAACAGTTGAGGGGAAAATACACTTTATTTGATTCAACCAAAAAAGGGAATGATAAGGAACAGTGGGGCTCAACCTTTTCGCCCAGTGGGCTGGATGGGTGATGCCCAATGCAAATGCAGACTCAATTGCAGCTGGCAGTCCTGATTTGGCACCCAGACCTGGCACGCAGGGCCCCACCTTGCTGCACAGAGGAGAGCGGGGGCAGCTGCACAGGAGGAGCCATAACTCATTCCCAATCCAGCCACACAGGGAGGAAACAGGGCTTGGCCCCAACCCACTGCACAAGGGTTAGGAATTTAGCAGAGCCAGAGGGTAGTAGTATTAAACTGACACCACTCCCCTGCTGCAAAACTTCCAATCTGCAGGCTAGAGGCCATTGCTTCACAGGCTGGATTCAGCTTACAGGCTGAGCACCTTTGGTCTAGATCAGGGGTAGGCAATGTTTTTGACCAGAGTCCCGAAAAAACTGCAATGTCTATCTTGTAAAGTGCCGGACTGCCAGCAAGCCAGAAAAACAAAACCAGGGTGCGGGGTACATGGTAGGATGCACTGCATATTAATATAGTTAATAAATCAGAATTGTGTCCCCCCCCCAAACAGTAAATGCCAGGCTTTCTAAAAATTCTAATCCTGGTGACAAGAAATAAAACTTCATGTACTACCTTTGTTGTTGTGTATTTTTTATTTTTTTTTGTTAAGCATGTTGTGATCAGACAGAGGGAGAAGGGAGGGGATGGGAGGTGAGGTGAGAGAGAGAGAGAAAGAAGAGAGGAGAGAGAAGGGAGAGAAAATAGGGTGTTACTACTAGGATTCTTTTTGCCAGAGCCCTCCAAGGATTGACACAGCAACTTGTCCAATGTGGTATCAAGTGAACTTTAATAGTAACCCCTAAGCTTTATTACAAGTTTTTTTTCCCCATAATACGACATGGCAAGCGGTTCCTTATATGTTACAGCAGCGACCTTTGGGTGTACCAGGCTTTGGGTCCCCCACTGGGTGTGTGGGATCTTAGTTTCTGGAATCCCTGCTGTTCAAACAAGAATTCCAAGGTTGCTCCCGTCTCCCCAGGGTGGCAACACAAAACACACACTGTCTCTTTGTTTGTCCACTACTTTTGTAACTTTCTGACCTCGGACTGTGTAATCCCCTGGTCTGTGCCAAGCATTCCTTATATGGTGCACCAATCCCCTGGCACTGTGCCAGGCACATTCCTTATAGGGAACCTGTTGTGCCTTGCTTGCCTAGTGCCCAATCACAGCACTCACATCTCCCAGTGCCACAGAAGGCACTTTGTTCAATTTTGTTGCTTAGTTTCAGGAAGGCCTAGACTATGGGCTTAGCATAACTCAATTTGCCCACCACAGAGGCGAGAGAGAGAGAAAAAGAAAAAACGAAGAGAGAAGAGAGTAAGAAAAAGCAAACGAGGAGAAAAAAAGAGGGGGAGAGAGAAAAAAGAGAATGCAGGGATGTTGTTTCTGTTCTGCTGACCTTGCCCTCATGTCTGTGGTGGTGCAGAGAGTTTCACAAAGCTTAACAAACTCAGCCACAGGCACTGAGTGTCCCTGCCCGTGTTTTCCTCACCCTACTCTCAGTGCCTGCTGGGATGCTGAGAGCTGTGGCTGCTTCAGAGCCCAGAGCAGCAACTTAAAAAAAAAAAATTTTTAACCATTTTCCTCGGGCAGCGCGAGGAGCGGGGTTGGACTAGATGATCTCCTGAGGTTGCTTCTAACCCTAAACTTTCTATGATTTTATGATTAACGAACATAGCACAAAAGGAAAATACAACTGTTTTAAACTTAAACTTACTCGCTAAGGAAGCTATTATACTTGGGCTAATGAAAAAATTAACAACAGAAAAGAAACCTAGCAATCAGAGAATATGGATATAGAAGATAAAAGAAGTACCCACAATGGAAGAGCTGCTTGACCTTATGCTGGTGTTGAGAGCAAATTCAGGCCTGGATCATGGAACTCTGTTAAGTAGATCAGCAGATGACCGCTACCTGACCCACTCTCTGCAGTGATGTCAGCTACCTGCAGCAGCCCTGGAACAGAGTGCCATGCACACACCCGCATCCTGAGTGAATGGGTTGCACTACCCATATAAAAGGGGGCTCTGACTGACAGGTCAGTGTGTGTGAGACTGTGAGGCGTGGCTGGACTGAGAGCTTGACTGAGAGGTCTGTGTGAGTTTTTGGGGTGTGGAGAGGCCCTGAGAGATTGAAGGAAGGTGTTTGGTGAGGGAATTGGTGGTTGCGTTGGTAGGGTGAGAAACTGGAGTGAGAGTTAGGATAGAGTGACTGGTTTCTTTGGCCGGTGCACCACGGAGGCATGCCATGCTAGATTTCAGTGACCTGTGAGGCTCCATCGATCTCCTTCCCCCATTGTGGTGAACTTTCACTGGAGGTAGGTAGGGTTCGCCCCCCGGGTTTCTTTCCCTCCAGGTGTGTGTATCACAAATCAGCAGACCTCTACTTCCCATTGTAAGTATTAACCATTCCTTTTCTCCCTCACTCTTGTCCTGGTTGTGGGTTACTCCTCGTCTGTGAGGGGAAGGTAAGCCCTACTGAGCAGTAGCCTGAGGAGCAGACCATGCTCGGGAGACCAGAGGCAGGGACACGAGCCTAACAAAGTTTCCTTGAGTAAATATTATATTGTTGTATCGGTAAGGTTCATTGTAGGAATGGATGTGTAAATATGTTGCTTGCTTACTTGTTGTTTGTTGTAATTTAATAAACCATTTTATTTGCATATCTTTAGCAGTTTTTTTAGTGATTATTAATTAAAACCAGTGATAGATATGGACAGGGTGAAGACCCACCATATCTTTTTGAGGAGAGATCCCAGCTGTTTGGGTCTGCTTTATAATTTGGTTTAAAAGAGTGATCTTTCTCCCAGAGCACTGGCAGGAGACAACTGTTACCAGCAGTGTAACTAAAAAGGAGCAAGCAAAGCACCCCAGGAGCTAACTTTATAAACAGCAGTTAAACCAGAGGTATTGAACCTTTTTCAGTCGACATACACCTTGGTCTCAGAGTGAGACTTCATGTACCCCCTAGGAGCAATGTTTCCAGTGTGAGGTTGAGGCATGGAGCAGAAGTAGAATATCTGGCTTACGCATGCACATTTTACAGCAGTAAAACCCCAGCAATTTCAAATTGTTAAGATGTTTTTTTAGGCCCTTCAACCTGTATTGGACAATGTATGAAATATATCTCACATATCCCCTGATGAGGCTTCACATACCTCCTAGGGGTATATGCACCCCCAGGTCAGAATGGCTGAGTTAAACTATCAATAAACCTCCCTTCCCAATTATTCTTAATTGAAATTAGAGCTAAGTCAGGCTCTGGCTTTATAAGAACAAACTTCATAAACAGGTAAGAGGAGCTTTTAATTAAGTAGACTCATAGATGGGACTGGTGTCATATTCTACTTGGAGCAAAAAATCAATCAGAAAATATAAATCCGGAATTTATCAGAAATGTATTAGAATGTTATGTTACAAAATTGTTAATCAGTATATTTTTTCAAAGGTGCAGCATTTACTGATTAAAATAATTTCAGTCTTAAGTACTTATAGTAAAATTATAATTGTGAATAATGTAAAAATAGTCTAACTGCTTTACTTTGGATAAATGAACATCCATTTCTGCTTGTAGATCATCCTTAACCCTTCAAAAGAGTGAGCCACAACATATCTATTAAGGAGACATGAGATGAGTTTCTGCCATGCTTTCTTCTACTATAC